AAGATATTGTTGAATGCATTATGTGTGTAAAAATTATGAAATTTAATTCAATTTATTTTTGTTTCGCACAAAAAATTATTTTTTTCCGTGACGAATGCATCCAAAACGCACCCATTTGGTGTCCTTAATTATAAATACAATAATACTAAGTTATCATGTTGCAATTGATTGGATATTAAGTTATTACGCAAGTATTTTTGAAAAAATTTGTTTTATTTACGTCTATATTAGTTATGTAACATAACTTATGTTTGAATGCAATAACAGGATACACGTGTCGCCCAAATTTAATTTAAATCAATATGTTTTTATTTTTATAAAACAGTCATTTATTTAATTATATTTGAACTTAATAGGAGTGTCCTTACGGTTGATTAGGCTGTATATAGGGGTCGAGTGCTGTGCGGACAATGGCTTAAACATTTTCCACCGATTAGATAAATACAAAATAATTGTCCCCTTTATTAAGATTCAAAATTGCATTAAATTAGTCCCGAATTTCATAATTAATAACTTAAAAGTTAGGTTTTAAATCAAGGTATGAATTAGACCTGCAACTTTTGCTAATTTTCATTTCCCTTCCCTTCCCCGTTCCCCGTAAGTTAGGCTTACGGGGAATCCCTTCCCTTCCCCGTACAGACTAACGGGGAACCCCGGGGATTCCCCGTAATTTCCCCGTAGTTATATTTTTAGTGCTTTTCCCTGTTTTACACCCCCTTCTCTCATATTTTGGGTTAAATAACACATCTTATGTTTGCCAGTAGTATTGTTAGTAATATTCAAACATATGTGTGTGTTTTGACGGCAGTCTTTAATACAAACTTGACTTTATTTAATAGATTTTGCAAAATAAAAAAATTAGTGCAAAATATTTGTGCATAATTACGGGGAATTTACGGGGAAAATTTGTTACGGGGATTCCCTCTACTTGTTACGGGGAATCCCTTCCCTTCCCCGTAAAGTCATTCTCATTTCCCTTCCCCGTAATGTCCCCGTGGAGGACATGGGGAATCCACGGGGAAATATTTTACGGGGAAAAAAAGTTGCAGGTCTAGTATGAATCATATTAAGAATTGCAGAGACCGTCGGCGAAATTGGCATAGAAAAGTTTTATTAAAATTTGTTATTTTTAATATATCTTTTTAATGACAAATTGAAGTATTTTATATATGAATATGTATAGTTATAATGACATTTATTAAGAACTTAATTTTTACATTCATTGTAATAGCATTTAAAACAAATATTCAATAGAATTTAACACATAAATTAATTATTGTAACCTTTTCTTTGTAACCCTTTTGTCAGACAAACACATACATACTGTACAGTACAGGAATAGTGGACACTAAATGTGGACCAAACATGACCCGAATGCGACACTTTTTAAGGCTGATCTAATACAACACTTTATACAGTCATACAGAATATGTCATACTGTAAGGCTATTTACAAAACATACACACGATTAGTGTGTTTAACATTGTATGTATTAAAATAACTAAATTGACTTTTTTCTACATTGTGAAAAATCATTAAATAAAATATAATATTATTCAAAAAATTGAAAATACTATAATACTAACTATGAGATTTTACAAAACATTTAATTTAAATAACACAATAGTACATTAAATGTATTTTAAATGTATTTTAAATATATTTAAATAAATTAAATAACAAGAATAACGAATTCATTAAATCACTCTTCTTTGCAATCGCTGTCCACTTCCTCTTCATTTTCGTTGTCTTTTTCATCAAAATTAATACCATTTTTGTGATAATAGTATTGTTTCGCCATTTGTTTCAATCTAATAGTCATGTGATTTCCCGTCTGTTTCACTAATTTGCTGAACAGACCATCGCTTGTGTCCAACAAATGGTGGGGAATGTCGTACTCAACCACTTGTCCCGCGTCTAACACCTTGTTATGGGNCTGTTTCACTAATTTGCTGAACAGACCATCGCTTGTGTCCAACAAATGGTGGGGAATGTCGTACTCAACCACTTGTCCCGCGTCTAACACCTTGTTATGGGGAGCTCAAGAAATTTAAAATGTAATTTCAATAGCATATTTTATGTAAAGTATCAATAAAGATAATTTTATTTACATAGATATGAGGTCAGCAAATTGTTAATTCGTTTTGTTCACATATAAATATTAACTTCGTAATTTGTCTTAAAATTGCAATTAAGTCATCTAATAGGCAATTATGAACTTGTAATATAATATAAATTAAAATTTATATATTTCCTTAATAGTCTGCTAAAAAACGTATCAAGAAAAAACTCAAGGAATTTACAATAAAATCTCACGGAATCTTAAGGAAATTATTACTTAAAAGTACATTTCTCAAGGAAATTGGTATATAAATCTGGGAACACTAAGTTCAACACACGAGATGTGAACCCAACCCCCTATCAAAGCCTCGCTTACCATCACTTTGTCGGAGTCGATGATAGTGTTGAGTCTGTGGGCAATCGTAATGACAGTACAGTATCTAAACCTCTGTCTA